AGAAAAAAAAGAGAAGATTTTGTTTTGTTTTGGGGGGGGGGGGGAGCAAAACAAAATACAAAACAACATCACACCTTTGTATATGTCCATGGTATACTTGTAGCTTGAATGCTGCTGTTTTAGTTTCTCCCTCTCAAAAACATACTGTAGGATCAGAATAGTTAACAGGATGGCAGTGAGGATAGTAAGGGTATTTCCCTGCAAACAGCCTCAGTGCAAGGACAGAGTAAATTAATCAGATTGCCTTAGTTTGGAAAGCATGTGATTCATGTAAGATAAGAAAGATATCTATAAATCATGAATGATAAGGGGAAGAAAATTTCTTTCAGTCTTCCTCATACTAAAAAAAATAGGAACCCTTCAATGAACTCGTGGTGCTTTAAAACAGCCTGCAAATAAAGGAAAAACAATTAAACTCTTATTAAACACACCTTTCATGCTCTGTGGCAATAATTTCCACAGTTTAACTATGGACACTAAGTATATATGTGTTCCAGAAAGAGACAGACCCATCAGTGTCTATTAACAGTGATTCAGATTAGCCATCAGCTCAGGAAGCCTCTAAGCTATTTAGTAACAGAACTTGGGAGTTATCAATGTGTCCATACCTCCTGGCTTAATTTTTTTTTCTCCAAGTGCTAGTAATAATTACAGTTGGAAGCAAGGGCCAGGACAGCCTTGGATCTGACCTAAGATTAGGTTATGGGGGAAAATGGTGTGAAAAGATGCAGAATCAGAGGGTCCATTCCAAAATCCATCTTGATGAAATTCTGAAAGTATGTTAAACATGCAGAAAATACTAAATTGTGTGTCCCTGCAAGGAAGGGAAGATTATGTCTGGGGAACATTATGGAGCAGTTCATCTTGAGGGCGCTCACAAGGCATGAGCGGGACAACCAGGGGATCAGGCCCAGCCAGCACGGGTTCATGAGAGGCAGGTCCTGCTTGACCAACCTGATCTCCTTCTATGACCAGGTGACCCGCCTAGTGGACGAGAGAAAGGCTGTGGATGTGGTCTACCTGGACTGAGCCGGCAGTGTGCCCAGGCGGCCAAGAAGGCCAATGGCATCCTGGCCTGTATCAGAA